AAGGAGTGGCTTCACAACAACTCTGTGACTGTTCTTGAATGGCCCAGCCAGAGTCCTGACTTAAACCCAATTGAGCATCTCTGGAGAGACCTAAAAATGGCTGTCCACCAACGTTTACCATCCAACCTGACAGAACTGGAGAGGATCTGCAAGGAGGAATGGCAGAGGATCCCCAAATCCAGGTGTGAAAAACTTGTTGCATCTTTCCCAAAAAGACTCATGGCTGTATTAGATCAAAAGGGTGCTTCTACTAAATACTGAGCAAAGGGTCTGAATACTTAGGACCATGTGATATTTCAGTTTTTCTTTTTTAATAAATCTGCAAAAATGTCAACGATTCTGTGTTTTTCTGTCAATATGGGGTGCTGTGTGTACATTAATGAGGAAAAAAAATTAACTTAAATGATTTTAGCAAATGGCTGCAATATAACAAAGAGTGAAAAATTGAAGGGGGTCTGAATACTTTCCGTACCCACTGTACATACATACATTTAGTATATTTATTTGAATAATGATTGTTTTGAGGAAGTGGAATAACAGTTTTGCAAATAATTGATCAGAATGAATCTTTTAATTAAAATTATGATTTTTTTCATAAGTAACCATATTTGGATTTTACATCCGATTAATTGAGGAGATAATCTACAGATTCATTCAATAATTGTTAGTTGCAGCTCTACACTTTTCAAAACTGAAATGGCTTTACCTGATTTCTCTGATAACAGAAGTTGCAAGCCCAGAGTTTTGCTCTGTAATCCACTTGACTGATTGTGTAAACAGGGAAAAAATAAAAAAAACAGAAGCATAATAATATTAGGGCATCGCAAATAATGTATCCAGCTTTCATAATAAATGTGTTTATTTGGAAATTACTGCAATGGATAAGAAGTAGATCCTCCATCTGTGAACTCATTATGCTGTCTGCTCTGACTTAACAGACTTACCACAGAGGATTGAGCACAGCTCGACACGTGGCCCGGCTGCACAGCACCGGCTCGTACTGAATCGGGGGGAGATCAGGCCGCTCCTTCAGCGGGGTGAACAGGGAGGCCACAGGAACCACCATACGCGTGGCTTCCAGACGACTGGACGGCCAAACGTTCCAACTGAAACGGACGCCATCGCGGTCCTCGTTCTGCTGGATGAACTCCTGGAAGGTCGCCATAGCACCCTCTGGAATCTACCAGTTAAACAGGGTTTATGGAGAAGAGAGAGAAATGTATGCGGTGATGTATTCAAATAAGACGTGCAATCTGATCTGTGTGTATATTACAGTCTGATTCATCGTTACCCTTTGGACACAGGGCAAACTATAATGTCACATTACACATCATTAAAAGCTGGAATGAGATAAGAGATACAAGTTCAGAAAGCATCTATGATGCCAAAGCCCTCTAGGTAGGTAGCTCACTTAGTTTTGAGTATCAGCCTATATTTTTATGCCTGACTATGATGCCTAAAAATGCTGTCTAGGTAGGCAGCTCACTAGGTTTTGGATCATATACTAGCGGTGTTCAAACCACAGACCACTTTCCTAAAATATAAAGACAGCTATACATTTTCTTTTAGAAAGACAGAATTACAGTATACTAAAAATATATTTAAACATATAAAATATAGCATTATTGGTATTATTTTTCTTTGCGTCCTTATTTATTAGTATTTTTGCCTATTTTTATGTCTACTTTTATTTTTATTATTTGACATGTCAAAAATGCTTAAATACTGACTTTAAAGTGGTTTATCCGCAGAGTGGATCATTCTATTACGCTAATTTTTAAATATAACATTTATTTATTTAGTTGTTTATTATTGTTATTAATATTATCATCAATGTTATTCAATGCATTTTCTAAACTTTCTCATGGACCCGGACCCCAGTTTGAAAATTCCATGGCTGCAGATGAGCAGCAAAAATGCCACATGTGCAGATAAGAAGAGCACAAACCAATGAAGTAGGAGACATATTAAAAACAATACAATTGTTTGTTAACAATACAAATGTATTGACAATTACAAACACATTTGGGGAAATATTAAGATACAAAATAAGTACGCAATGCAACAGTCTGCCCAATTTTCAAATAAGTGACTATTCCAAAATTATAAGCTCATAAATATTAGGGTAATTCATGTATTTACGGCAACGAAAAAAATAAATAAAACTGCGGTTATGCAGCCAGTTATGCAATTTATAAGTTTAGTTTTTTAGTTTACTTGAACTAACGTTACATGGATCCACTGGGCCACAGAAAGCTAGTTCGATAGCATAAGAAATATAAATAAGCTTACATCAACGTGAAACCAACTTCAGAGCACAACTACTTTATAACGATCTGATCCGATCAAACATTTCAGTAAACAGCCGCTGCGGTGACCTGCTTGTTGATGTAACAGTTAACGTTAGACATGATGCTTCCAGTCAACCCTGACTTCAAGCTAAATGCCCTTTAAACCCGCGATTTCTCGCACTGCAGTCCATCTAACGCTTCACATCAATCATCATTAATAATCGGATCGTTAGCGTAATATATACGATCATCTATTTGCAAATAGTAAGTGTTTAGACGTACCTGAAACCTTGATTTAGTGTCTCCTCAGAGACTCACTGACAGCTCGAGCGAGCTCCTGAGCTAATGACGTAGCAGCTCAACATGGAGTCGGTGCCACGTCAAGAGCCCGAGGTTCATTTTATAATTTATTTGAATTATACACTTTATTTTTGAACACTTTAGCTTTTTTTTTATTATTTTTAAATATTAAAAAGTATATATTACTTATATTAGGGGAAAATAAGTTAATTTCCACTAATATTATTAACGTATACTTTTAAAGGGGTCCTATTATGCTTTTTAACTTTTTCAACTTTAGTTAGTCTGTAATGTTGCTGTTTGAGCATAAAAAAGATCTGCAAAGTTACAAAGTTCAAAGTCCACTTCAAAAGGAGATATTTTATTTAACAGAAATCACTTTT